AGGGTAGTTGGCCATCTATACTGACCAACTGGATTTCCTGATTAACGGTATTATGAATAATGGTAATACTGCATCTGAAAAGCTCAGCATGTTATTGTGTGTGGCCTTGTGTCTGAGAAAAACTAGGGGATAAGACCTGAAGCTGCCCTTCCCTCAGGGACAGATCTGAGCAAGCAAAAAGGTTGTTTCTCTGATGGTCATCTGTGCATAAGTAGCTGGCTTGGAAAGCAGCAATTAAGGGACACATACACCTTTGTTCAGGGTGGACTAAAACCAGTTGTAAGAGCACATTCCAGCACGTAACAAACACATAAGACTTAACACTTCTACATTTAGAGATCTCCCAATTATATGAAATAATTTTCTCTATTAAGCTGCACTCCTTGCTCTAGAACATCACAATTTTTACATTTGTTTCCTGGTAGATGTTCTATTTAAACAGTGGGGTTTTTTTGGTTAAGAGTGGGTATGGACACACCTTTCACAGCAATTACCAGCAAACTGAGAGATTACTGATGCACAGTAGGAAATAGATAGCTTTCATGTAAAGGTATGAAGAGTCTCTGCAGTCCAAGTCCCATGATTCAGTTCATGTCAATGCATGATTGCAACCCATATGCACTAAGTTCCCTCCCTCATTTTTTGTCTCTCTACATCTCTCTCACCTAAAATATTTACATATGTGACCTCATCGATGCCAGAGTATTATTTGAGATTTATCTGGTAAGCCAACGGAGGCAGTGCCCTTATTAAGTAGCCGGTAAGTCTGCAGAGACAATTCTAGACTAAACTGCAATAAATATTTCTCTGGGAAAGGCTAAGAATACTGTGGTGATTCACAACAAAGTTTGTTTTCAATGTCCTGAGGAACTTTAGAGCAATGCCCTAAAGCAGAAACTTTGTTGTTTGACACAAGAGATACCATAACCAGGTAAGAATTTGCAATGAGTGCCTGTACTGTCTCACTATTTTGTAATAGCATACATAGACACATCAGCTGCCCACGGGTATGGGAGACTTTTTTTGTAGTTATCTGTAATCAGAGTATCATTCACAAAATAAAAATATTTGGAGCAACAAGAGACACATTGCTTGTGACTAACAAGTTAAATCATTAGGCAATGTCCTATACTGGTTCCAAAGTCAGTTAAGCCTTTGGATTATCTGGTAAATACATGCTAGCCATGGAAATTAAAAATGTGTAAGGAGAGCTGACTCTGTGGCATCATCTCTGTCAAATGTTTTTACATGCTTCTCTTTCCTGGCTTTTTACAGTTCATGCATTCTAACCAACATTCCCTATGTAGAAAACCTGCCTGCCTACCCTTCAGTAGTGAAAACACCCAAACAGGCAAGGCTTTCTATGTGCATGTCTGAAAAAGGAGGAGGCTTGTATGTATTACTTTCATGTTTCAGTTATATGGATATGGGCAACCGAGGGCTGGATTCTTTGAGTTTGATCCAGCCACACTTCTAGCATGACGAAGCTTTGAAAATGGAATGACAAATCAAAATTCCTCCCCAATAGAGAACCCTGGCTGATGAAGGGACATAAACTCTTTATGCCATTCTGACCTACCTTCCCCAACACTGCAGGTATTAAAAGAGGTACAAAAAGAGGTATAAAGGGAGAGAAATACTTTCTTGCCTAATCCATTTTCATTGTTAAACTCTTTTTCTCTACTCCAGCATTCCATTGTACATGCAGTTACCCTTTTATATACATGGAAGTACTGGCCTTTACAATATGCAATTATAACATATCCTTTCAAATGAAAACCTATGATATAGTGCAACATTTTATTTATCTAGAATTCCGTATATTCTTATTACAATAAAATATCAGTAAATTGCTCTTAACTGATACGTAAACTTGTAGTTCAGATACGTTTAGAGGCAGCTGCGGCTTTCTGCCCCACTTCTCTGTATAGCCAGTTGGGTGGTCTCCCACTCATAATTCTTTCTGACTCTTGAACTGTATACAACAAAACATCTATTTATATATCATGAAGCATTATCCTAAGTAATTAAAAGTAATAATCTATCACAAAAGTTACCAAATGAGATGCTTACATGCAGAATTCATGTTGGTTTTTTATTGTGTTTGTTCATCCACTCCTTCATTTGGGAAAAAAGTTCATCATTCAGAAGAGGTCATTCACAGCACTGAGAGTGCCGTCATTGCTGAAGCTCATGGCACTACATACAAGCTATAAGGATCAGGACTTCAAACCCTAATAAAATGTCCTAAGTCCAACATTTAAATACTTAGGTTTGACACTTATTCTTATACAAGCAAAGGATTACCATACTGACCTTCTTAGTAAAGTGCCTTGAGGCCTGTGTACGAAAATGCTAACCAAGCAGTAAGTACGGGGTTCCTCCCAGGAAAAGGTGGGCGCTGAGACTGAACTGCGCTCAGTCTTCCTCCAATTACATTACACTTCTAGAACTCAGCTGTGGGGTGCACTTTAAAAATGGCATGATAATGAATTATGTTAATAACTATTAACAACTAATAGATCTGTAAATCCTAGCTCCTACTACACTGCAAGTATACTGCATTTAACTGGCCCATCTTTCTGAGGGAATCAGACCAGAACAAATTATTTTTAGCATTCACAGATGCTGATTTTATATGAGGATTAAAGAGATTATGAAAAAGCAGCTTTCACATATGTTGCTTTATAGATATTCGTAATGTCATTACAATGTAAAAGACTTTGCATAGTGCCTTCTAACTAGATACATAAAAGCGCTTTTTAAACATTAATGAACTGTAGCGATTTTGTTACTTTTTTTTTTTTCCTATTTACCAGAATAAAGAGGCAATGAGAAGAAAAGTTGTCATCTAGTGAATCAGTGACAGGACTTGGAATAAAACCCCAATGTCTTTCAGTACTCACTCTGAAATATTTCAGTTGAGTAAAATACAGAATAATGCCTCAAAATGTTTAATAAAAAAATATGCTCTGTTTCCAGAGGTCCGGCTAGAGCAAGGACAATGGCATATTTTGGGGAGGGCAAAGGCCCGATCCACGTGGATAATGTGAAATGTACGGGAAATGAGAGATCCTTGGCAGACTGCATTAAGCAGGACATTGGGATGCACAACTGCCGTCACAGCGAGGACGCGGGGGTGATCTGTGACCACCTAAGCAAGAAGGCCCCTGGGAACAGCAATAAAGGTGAAGCCCCCTTGTGAGTGGCAGACCAACAGGTTCAGATGGGGAACTATCACGGTAGGAAGAGACGGACATAAACAAGCCCACCTCACAGAGGAAACGGTTATATCAAAAGAATTATAGAAACAAAAGTGATGGGAAATCCTCTCTGCTTACACTGTGTGATCTTATTGCTGTGCCAGCTGTGCAAAGGAATCATAAAGACTATTCAAATGATATAGGGTATTTTGTCTACCATAGTTTACAGCAGCCATGTTTCTTAAGTTGTACGAGGGACATGAAAATGCAAAACTCTTAGACAGCTACTTTCAACTTTTCAGCTTACAGGTTATCTTCAGCTGAGGACTGACACCTGTGTGGTATGCCAAGCTCTGCTTCCACTTACATGAAGGAAGAACCCTATGAAAAAAAATCCTACACTTGAGAAGCAGAGCCCAAATGTGTAAATTGCTCTGTGATAACAGTCAAAAGATCTCAGCTAAAAAGAATTTCTGAGTCTGAGAGAATTCAATGTATTTTCCCAAGCAAAATTTGGTTGTTAAAAACTATCACAAAACACAGAATAACTTCAGCCTTTGTGGGTTTGTTTTTTTTTTTTCAGTTAATTCTCACTGAAGATTGGCTACTTTTCATTTTGAGTTTAATGCTGTCTACATGTCTCCCTTTCTGCTTTAGATTCTCTTGCTTCCGTTTGTGGATTGAGGTTACTACATCGTCGACAAAAGCGAATAATTGGTGGGAAAAATTCTTTACGGTAAATATTTGGTAAAGACAAGTAATGTTGAATATGAAGCTTCTAAGACACGTATTTGCCATAAGCAGTTTGCCTAAGTTTTATTGTAGGTTTGTTGTTTGTTTTTCTTTTGGCTTGACATGAGGTAGAAACAGAAAAACACTCAAAGCAAATTTGGTAGGAAATTTAAAAATATTCATTGATAAATACTTGCAGCATTAGTTGAAAATCTGTAGATGCTTATGGGTTTAGTCCTTGATTGGGTTACATTTCTTACTTTCACAACAGCCATTTACCTTTTTACAAATGGTATCTTGATATCAGGATGCGAGCTATATGAAGAGAGCTATGAATATTAGCACCATGTTCTAACCAACTGAGCTAACCCGGCTGGTCATATAGTACAAGGTTTTAAATGTTATCTACACTGAAAAGAAGGCCTGGGTATGATTCACTGCCTAAAACCTGATTTTCGTTCACAAAATAAGCCTCGATGATGACACAGCTATAAAACCAGGCTTTTTGTTAACACTTTGTTCTTAGCTTTTAATGAGATGTTCACATTTAGTTAATCTAAACAGATTAACTGAACACCACTACTACTAAGTGCTACGACAGGAAGTATAGGCTTTATTTTCTTAATTTTGTGAGTGACCACAAAAAATATATATACACAGAATCTTACAAAAGGGATTGTAAAAAATACCCTTATAGTATCATTACATGTCATTGTGCAACCTATTTTAAAGTACATGCACAGCGTCAATCAATCCATTTCAACAGAGACACTGCCTAAGTGGAGGAGCTTCAAAGAACAGTAACAAGAGGGAGCCCAGAAAAACATTTAAATGCAGTCAGACAGAGCAAAGTAGGATTACCTACCTTAGTAAAGAGACAAATGAGAATAATAGATAATGCATTGTACAGAAAAAGAAGATTGAGAATTATTGTCTCAGAATACATGTACAAAGGACATGTAGATCTACTATACAAAACGGATGATCACAGGCTGAAAAAAGGTGCTGATCTATTACTTGTGGTTTCTACAGTGGCTTTAGACCTCTTGGTTTGCCAGTTTCCCTTTTCAAACAGCTCAGAACTGACAAAGACATTAACGCAGACAGGAAAGGATGCTGGGTTAAGGTTTTCAAGAAATTCCCTTCTTTCCCCTCTCCAGTTGGCAGGAAATTTCTGGTTTGTTGACTTGGACGGTATTTGGCGAGGAACCCATAGAATGTATTTTTGGCACAATGAATGCAATCTGAGAAGGGAACATTAAAATAATTGACAGTGGGAGGAAGCGCTCAGAGTGCTGGATGCCCAAACAATCCGTAAAGTACTCCTGACCATTGTTAAATGGAATTCTGAATGCTGCCGGAATATAAAGGTATTCTCAACTGTTACTCAATAAATAACACAGTTTGCAAGCTATGTCAGTCAAAGAAACTAAATAGGATTTACATTCAAGGTAACTGACAAGCTACCTTACTTTTCCATTGCTGTACCCTGAACGCAATGTCCTATATCCTCTGTAGGGGTGGCTGGCCATGGCAGGTCGCACTCCGGCTGAAATCTTCTCATGGTGATGGAAGACTCTTGTGTGGTGCTACTCTCATCAGCAGCTGCTGGGTCCTCACTGCTGCACACTGCTTTAAAAGGTAGGTCTCTCTTTAATAGTGAAGGATGTTTTCAAACTATTTTGTTGTTCTGGGTATAGGCAAAAACATTCCAGTTCAAGCCCACTGAAAACTGTTCCAAAGAGTTTGCCTTTGGTTTAAAGAAACACTACCAACCAACCTCCTTTCCCTCCAAACAAAAACAAAAACAAAAACCTAATACATGGAAATTATTCTGGGTGTCATCATTCACGAGATTTATACTTGCAACTTCAGCATTTCCATGAAACAATATAGACGATACTTCTGACATTTTAACACAGCTTTCTGTTCCAACAAAACTGCAGCTTATGGCTTTCAGGTTATAGTGAAGACAACTGAGCAAACATCAAACACAGGGACTGTAATATTTTGGATTATTTTTGGTAATGACAAATACTGGCAGTGATAGACATTTTTACTGTAACACTGCAATGACGAGATGACCTAGTCGCCCCAAACCCATGTTAGGGTACAGCACTATGATGTATTTTGCTGAGTCTAATAGGAAAGTAAATCTGTACACTGGATGCTAGTGAGACTGAGCTGCCTTGCTTATTCTTCACAAATAGACTGGAGCAACTGCCTTACTCTGTTGTCTCACAGTACATAACAGATTGTCTTTTTCAGCTATCTAAACAAAGGTCCCATCCCCTTTAACAAAGAAATAATTGTCTAAGTGGTTATACTGTATAATTCTCTGACACTGGCATCTAATTAAAACTATGCCAAATTCAGCTCCTTTCCATATGTTTAACAACTGGTTTGCAACTTACACTCCTTTGTAAATCACATTTGATCTACTTGGTCTAACTTCTGCAATTCTCAGTATTAAGCTATTATCTAGCTTTTTAAAGCATCTTCTCCCATTTTTGCAGAAACAGATATTCTGTTACTGATAATCCTCCTATTCAGTTTTTACGATATCCCCTCTTCAGTAATTCTGACATCAGGAATTCACTGCAGATGAAGTTACTGTAGTATAAAAGCACCAACTTGCACAGTAAGGAAGCTGGTCTAGTATTTTAAGCTTTCAACAGCAATTATTTCATTGGAATCCTTACAAAAGATTGCAGTATGGGCTGGAATAAAAGCAGAGAAGAATGGCACTGCAGTTTTGAGGATATTTGCTACAATTTGCTCAAGTGGGCTGCAAATGTTTTAACTTTGGACTTTGAGCCCTTCCTTTTGCACACTAATAACTAAAGAGAAGAGTCAGATATACTTTTACTCAAATGGAAAGTGTTACCTTTGCTTAGTGCCAGATGCACATCTTTTCATTTTCATGCTTCGTGAAAATGATGAAGGACTTTTCTTGGTAATATTTCAAGCCAAAATGGTCAAACTCAGTAAAATTTCTGCCTACTTCAACTGATGTCCCAGTTGTTTCTGTGGAACTATGAAAGCACTTCAGTTGCTATCATTTAAATATATAGACAACAGCTTCCTATTCCCCTGTTCATCACCTCTATAGTGATTACTAAGGATGCAACTTAAGCTCTTGAGAAAGCCTTTGATTAAAGGCTTGAAAACAAGGCAGTCTTTTCTGTTATTTTACCTCAAAGATCCTTTTCAGGAAAGGAAAAAGGGAGGTCACAGGAAGCCAGTTATGTTTTCTGTGTGCAGATCAAGATCTTAGTTACCCAACTCTTCGCCTTATTAGAATGCTTTCACAAAGTTTGGTGAAACAAGTTAGTATTTGCTATGCTGCAGGGTCTGTTATAGGCTATCCTAAAACTGTTACATGTGGTCTCAGGGACCAAAGTATTGTTTTGCCCCAGATGTTGCATTGAAAACTGTGCAACGTAGATCTAAGTGTGCAGCTCCAACAGCCTGTGGACACACTACTGTTTACTGTAGAAGACGACACCTTTAGCTCTAAGCTGACATTGGACAGACTGGGCTGAACTTCCTAATGATCTCAGAGTGATTTTAAGGGGCTAGGTTTCCAAGAGCTATCTATAGATCAAGTGCCTTCTTCACATATTTTCCACAGACAGACAAGAGAAAGGCCACTATACCATTTCTCATATCCTGGAAATCGGAACACTGCTTAAGTAACAAAAGTGGGCTCATCTGTACTATGGACAAAAATTAAATAAAATTTTATGCATGATGATTAGAATTGTTCACCAGTAGTATAGCAGCATTACTGGTTTCTGTAATTTTACAGACACATAATTTAAGATCAAAACCTGTCTGAATCTAGTTTTCCTTTTATAACCCACCCATCTTATTAGCCAGGTTTTGTCCTGAGTGGTTCTGACAGCTATAGGGAATTTGTAGGTCTATACATAAAAAAAAATATTAACTTTGGATAATTAGAAATATGAGGCATAGAAAAAAAGGAAATTACAATGACCATGATATCATTTTAGGAAATACGGTGTTGTACATTGTACTGTTCTAATAATATAACTCTTATTTAAGTATTCCTGAATGCCCACGCATACTTCAACATGGTCCTGGTAATTTTGTTTTGAGAACTAGGGACCCTGAGACACAGTGGAACCAAATACCTAGTAAGACACCAGAAACCAAAGTAGACACCAGAATTAAAATTCAGTTTTCTCAAATTTAGCATGAACGGTGAGATGAATTCAGGTGTGCCTTCAGTGTCAGTACATTACTTGACTGGCAGCAGGATGATATTAGCACAGTGGCTCATTACTAATCCATCCTCCAGTTGGCTGGGAAAGAAACCTTCTAGGAGGTGCTAAGGTCAATGTTGCCAGGCTGCACTAGAGCTTAAAGGCGTGCCCAGCCCAGCCATCCAACAGAGGGGTAAGACCCTGAAAGCAACATCATTTTCCACCCATGAAGCACTTCCAGACTCCTCCTCTGCCTCCACTCTTCAAATGTGATGCGTGTGTGGTGGTTCTCTGCCATTTCATAGGTGACTTTTGGAAGACTGGACACCCCTGCCCTAGACTACTTTGCCTTTTTTATGTACTGATGCTCTATTACAGTATTTCCACAGTTGGCAAATACCAGCTACTACAGGGGAAGAATTGTAATTGTCTACAGATGAAAAAATCAGTTTAAGGAAGCCTTATGTGTGTGAGTGTGCACAGAAACATGGTAAATCTGTGCAAAGACTGCTCATTAAGCTTCTAACTAGAAGCCTTGTAGCTATTAAAGTTTCATATATTTGCATGAGAAGCAGCACTTCTCATTCTAGTACATGTTTAAAATCAGTACTTTTAATTAAGATAAGCTTTCCTGGATCTCCCTTTCGTCGTTATTCTGCTATAAATGACCATCATCCATAACACAGAAAACCAGCAGGAACCTATTAAAGGGAACACTGTTCCTTTTGTCAAAACCAAGGATGTAACATTAAATAGAAGCAGCGAGTTTTCTACTGTACTATCTGATATAGGGCTGACAGAAGAGCGCTCGTTATCACTAGTCATAAACAACTTTCCTTCATGCTTAGGCTTATGAATCAAAATAAACAGTAACAAATCAACCTCCTTTGATTATTAAATCAGTTTAGGAAGGAAATGTGTTCATTTCTCATCTAAATTACAAACATCTAGTACATTTGTGCGTCTGTAGTACTCTGACTTCCATGAGGTTTAAAAAAAAAAAAAACAAAAACAAAAACCCACACAACCCCTTCCTCCCTTTGGATTGCATTAAAGATAATGGATAGAGTATATGGTAAATCCTGTAATTAATGTTGTGGATAAGGCCTATAAACTAAAATGCAGAGGCACCCATTACATCTAAAAAAAAAAAAAAAAGAAGAAAAATTTATACCATGTAAAATTACCTTTCTCTACTTGAGAGCCAGATTGCACCACTGATAATACATATCTACAAAGTACTGTCACTGTGTTTGCTTATTGTGTTAGGTTCCAAAACCTGTATGTCACTATACACAATGGTTAACTTAGGTGGGCAAATAGTTATTGAAGGTAAAAAAGCTTTCATAATCCAGAAACTATCAGCATAGCGCTAATATGTGGTTTGCTGCAGAGAGCCAAAAGTGTATCTATAAATTAGGAGAGAATTTTCAGTGACCTTTTGGACAAGTTTTTGGCAGATTATGTCAGGCAAATATGTATTTAATGCTAATGGTCTTGTACATTTGTATTCCAATATGACACTCAGACGTGTACCAAAAACTGTTAAAATATTACTTTCAAAATATTTACAAAATATTGTATCTAGCAATACATTCTAGTGTACAGAATCCTATTTATGATAGCTCTTAAAGGCAGTAAGATTAACAGTTATAAACAATCTCTGCAGCAAAAATTATGAAACTATTTAATATTGCTTAACTGGCAAAGGAAACATCATAATTTTACTTAACTTATTGGGCTCAGCTGCTGTATCATTTAGATTCTTAAGTGGAACATCATCATGCAATTATAAAATTTGAGCAGTCTGAGATGTCAGTAACAAAAACAACTCTTCCATTTACTTTAGTGGGGATTTTGTATATAAGTTAGATAATTCAAATGAAAATAATAAAGCCATCTTACTGCAATAGTAACTAAAGTACTTTCTGTATCAGCTTCCTTTTCTAATTTACTCTGTGGAAAATAGCTCCTACAAAGTTGGCTAATGCATCAGCCAAGATTGTAATCTCGGCCTGGGCAAGACATCGGAGAAGTACTTAGTTGGCTGTACAACCCATCCCAGCGTTACTACACTCTCTATGTTCTGAGCATTACATCTGCTCTGTAAATAGATTTTGTAAAAGTGAAAGACTGTTTGATACTGCACACCCTGACCATCCAGCTACCTGCCCCTACACTGACCTTGTCCACTTTGGAGAGGGGCATAGGAGTTGCCCTGTCAGTGTGTAGAACATTCTATAGTTGGGCGTTTTATTCCTCTGTTTTACGAGTTTCACAGATGACCAATGCATTGATTAGCTTACACAATAAAATGAGCTACCAGGGTCTGTCACTTTGGTTTTCATAGTGTATTCAACTGCTTTATATACCATAGTACCACGCTTTCTGTCAAACAATCAACATTATGGGTACTTCCATGAAAAAGATGGCCGAAGTGATCAATACACTTGCCCATGATTTGGTAGTTTCTCTTTCAGAAATCTTTAAGCTGTAGTTCTAGGAAATACACTACCTTTGAGTGTCTATTTAATACATATAAACACTGAACTGCAGATGCAGCTTTCTGCAGAACACAAGATTAAACTAAGGAATCAGATTAATTTCCCTACTAATATTTTCCACAACTAGAGGAATAAAAAATACTTTCTCTCCTAATTTATATATTTACATAAAAATATGTTTCTAACTTTGAATGCTATGGTTTTGCCAAAGCATTACTGGAAATTTTTGCACATGGGCCAGCAAAATTTGCTTTCAAGTCTGTCTATATGTAAACATGCTAAATTAAACTCTGAATTATGGTTTCTAAAAATTCCCAGAAGCAACAGAATCATAGGATGCTTAGCAAGCAAATATATAAAACCTATTCAGTACAAACTGGTACTGAAATATATCAAGCACTTTATTGTAAAGATGCACAACTTATAAAAAAGTCACTTTCACAGAAATAATACTAGAAGAAAGCTGTGTTAAGTAGTGCCTGTACTATATAGTATTTTAATGTACTGAAGATGTGTGGAGCCTTACTCCTTGCTGTATTAAGGAAAGACAGATAGATGGCAGAAGGAAAAACAAAAAAGAAACTCACCCAAGGTCACAGATCAGATCACAGCACTGTTGTAAAAAACCCCGCTGTTTTCTAGCCAGTGCCAGATTATACTTTTACTGGCTGCCACATCATAGCTCAGAGTAACAATAATAGAAGTTTAGACTGATAATAGTATATTAAGTGTCTCGGCAAAGGATGGTAAGATTAGCCTTTTCTGATGTAAGATGTGTGGCAACAGTGACCCCGGAGGGGATTCGTCAGTGTCAGAGCAGAAATTCCTGGCAGGCAGCAGACAGCAAGCATTTGACAGACAATCTATAGGGATGCAGAATTTAGGATTTCATTGATGTCATACTTCAGATGGTCAAATACAGATGGATATATGTAACTCCAGAAACTAGCTGACCTAACAGCCTTTCTTACTATGAAGAGTCTCCTTAAGGGCAACAAAAATGAAAGCGATATATCAGGTGCCAATCCTACTTCCATGGAATTTTGTCATTTGTTTTATTAGGAAAAGAACCAACTGTGAAGTCTTAGTGAGCTTTTAAAACTGGAAAAAACACACGAGATGATCTAGAAGTGACAACATGAGATCTAGCACAAGAGAGACTCAAAGATTTGGTTTTTTTAGAAAAGCTTAGAAAGAAATACCTTGATTCTAGAAACTTCAAGGGACTGGAGTCAGAACACCTGAGCGCCAGGATTCATGCTTCTGCCTTTTCTGATGTTCTTTTCCTATTCATGCTCTCATTTCTTAATAGAAAATTCCTAATGAAAATTGATTCAGTGATAAGTTTTAAAATACTAGCACTGCTGTGGTCAAAACAGAACGATTAGTAATGTGACAGATACAGTTTTTTTCTTAAATATCTTTGAGATAAACATACTGATCCACAACTTAGAAAAAGCTCTTGAGCTATTTTTCTTCAGGGAGGAAATAAGTGATATATTTGGTAGAATACACAATTTAATTTTTATCAGTTCTCCCTGAGACTAAAATCAGTATGAATACTTTTTTTAAACACTTCTGTAAACTTGAAGAAGTCTGCATCAGTTGCATCGCTTCACTTCCAGCCACTACAGAATTTTGATTTCCAACCACAAGGAAAATACAGTATCTGGAAAGTATTTCACACAGACTACTGCTAGGGAGGACCTGCAAAAAGTTTTGTGGTAGAGAAGTTACTTCATTTTTCCTATATAGAAGGTCATCTTCAGATGAACAGATGTTTGGTCATAGCCTGCAACTCTCTCTCCTTACAAGCATAGAAGTGAAATTTTGCTCATAGAAGACCTGAAGGAGATGTGCAGAATTTGACAAAGAAAGCTTTGCAGGCGACCAGCAATGCAACCCGCAATTAGAATAAATATTCAGTGGTACAGCTATATATTGTTTGGAAGAAACCTGTAACATTCCTGCTTTGCTGCTCCTCAAGCAAGCTTTAGTAAGCTATGGAGATCAGCATGTTGCTGGAGGGTATAAAAAGAACAAGTATAGGTTAGAAGGTGACAGAACACCGTAGGGTATTTCCTGCACATGTATTACAAATTTCCTGTTGAAGGCTATGAGGGAAAGGGAGAAGTGAAAGAAAAAATATTTGGGTTAGCTTAGCCATATTTTAAAATAAATAAACGTACCCAACAGTACTCCCTTGTTTGCATTTTCCTGAGAAGGGCTGTGTGTCCTGTAATCCAAAAATCTCCGAAGGCATGCACAGAAAACTGTTATTTCAGCCCCAGTAATCATCTCTAAGGTATTTACCATTTAGCCTATGATGTGAAAGGAATTGGGGTCATATTAGATGCAAAACAAGTCTAAGATTTACAGGCCTTCTGTCACTTTGACAATAGGCACTTGTGATGCCCACATGCTTTGTTTTCCTTATTATAACTTCAGTTAACCTAAAAGGTCTTTATCCAGTTATCTAAGCCTGTAGAATTTCTCAACCAACCTACAAAGCAAGCTTGAACAGTTTTCATTTCAGTAATTATCTGGAGCATCACAATGATGTTAGTACTCAGGTTTTCATTATAATTACTGGCAATTTGTGTTACCCTCACTAAATACATTTATAATGCACGCCTTGCTTGCACCTTTGAAATAAGTGCCAGTCACAGCAGATGGCCATAAGAAACCTTGCTTGTGAAAATATACAAAAAGGAACATAGCCCGGCCTGAAACTTCAGGAAGTTTTTTGATATTCTTTAGTATACACTTGAATGTCAACCTAAACATCTGAGAAAGCATTTTTTCTCTTAAAAAAACCCTTTTGGTACCATTATCTGTGTGAGCAATAAAAACCCTGATCAAATCTGTTTGCGTGCTTAGGATCTGACTTTGCATGAGCCAGCCCTATTTTTTTTCACCTCAATCTTAGGTATGGCAACAACACTCGGAACTACGCTGTGCGAGTTGGAGACTATCACACACTGGTACCAGAAGAGTACGAGGAAGAAATTGGAGTCCAGCAGATTGTGATGCATAAAGAGTACAGGCCTGACAGCAGCGACTACGACATTGCATTGGTGAGGCTACAAGGGCCAGAGGAACAGTGTGCCAGATTCAGCACCCACGTCTTACCTGCTTGTTTGCCATTAAGGAGAGAGAGACCACAGAAAACTGCTCCCAACTGTTATATCACTGGATGGGGCGACACAGGTACAAATGTTTTAATGATTTCCACCCACCGATCTTGTTACCTGAGGCTGCTTATTTAAAAACAAACAAACAAACAAACCCAAACAAAAACCTCAAATACTTAAGAAAATGCTCAAAATGGAACAATTTTACTCTTTTTATATAGGGGAATATTATCTTTCCTGCTCCTTAACCAGGAATGACAACACTTTGTTTACTGCATTTAGCTTGTGTTTGAAAAGTGGCGATTAACCACAGCACTCTAAATCACACAACAAGTCAGTAAAATGGCCTCATTAAGATTGACAAGCATGAATGAAAAGCTTATTTGTTGCCAGGCACACCCCGCGCAGCAGGTTATCACCCCCTGCCTCAGAGCATAACTAACAGTTCTAATATATTTAAGGTTTTTAATATTTTAGAAAGGTTCTTTAAATTGCACTTCTTCAATAGAAAAATGGATAGAAAATATACACATAATAGAATTTCAAATAACATTTTTAGTCTCTCTTGTTACCACTGACATTTTCAATCAGCAGTTAGATTTAAATAAGAGAACATCTTGCCACAATTTATGAGCACCACAATGCAATCTGCAATCCAGGCTTCTGGAACAAACTATCTAGTCACTTTTTAGGTCAGTACAAGATTCTTCCTCTTCAAAGGTCTTTGTCCTTTAAATGTTTTACAAATTAATAACCATGTTTTACTTTCATGTTTTTATGGTGTTGAATACAGTGCAAGACAGCAACCACACTTGAACCTTTGTTTCACTGACTCATTCAAACTGGCAAGGAGACAAGGCAGCAAGGCCAAATATCAGTTACTCCTCCTTACGTGCATTAATCTGTGTGCACAGATGTCTGGGCCGCTGTACTACAATAAAGGAGACAGACTTGTAGGGTGGTTTTTTTACTAAAAACAATTGCTAATTCATTGCCTAGCACTGTCTAGCTTTTTACACCAATCACTGAAAGTTCTGCAATAGTGTTTACTTAGGACATCTATTTAAGGAAACATTAACCACTGCAGTAATTGGCTTTAATTACGGTAAGAAATTACATCATCACAGTACTTCAGTTGAAATTTCACGTTTACTATATGGATCATCATTACTTTACAAGTGCTAATCCCCCCCCGGCTTTAATTGTGCATGTTTCCAACTGAAAAAGAGGTGCAAGCTATAGAAAAAAGCCAAATGATTTAAATCGTGACATTTTATAAGCAGAGCACTGCTTATACAATGCAGGATTCACTACAGATAAAGAAAACCAAAGGACAGGTTCCGACCAACCCCACAAGGTTCCTTTTGGTCAGGAGTCCCATCAGTACTCTGGTCCACAGAAGTTACCAGGACTGTAAAAGAGTCAAACGATACTGCCGAACCCTACCAGAACACACTTGGGCTCAGTAACGTTAGCTCCTCAGCTGAGGTGATGAGCAAGCTTGCGTGTACTTACAGGGCATAAGCGTGATGGTTGGCTGGATGCTCTACTTGGAAGCCAACAGAGGATGCAGCAACAGATTTTTTTCAGTATTTAGTCTTGTTTTCAGTCATTTTATTTAGGGACAAAACAGTGTGAAGGACTGACAGCAAAAAATTGGATTAAATCACATTTATGTTTCCAAGACCAAGCATCATAATGAGACAATAATTTGGGTCCTCTTTTCAGGAAGGGCTTACTCAAGAACATTACAACAGGCTGCCATCCCCTTACTTCCCAAGAGGGTATGTGAAGATCGTTACAAAAGAAGATTCACAGGAAGAATGCTCTGTGCTGGAAATGTCCAGGAACAGAAGCGTGTTGATAGCTGTCAAGGAGACAGTGGCGGACCACTGATGTGTGAACGCCCAGGAGAAAGCTGGGTTGTGTATGGTGTGACCTCCTGGGGCTACGGCTGTGGAGTGAAAGATTCTCCAGGTGTCTACACAAAAGTATCATCTTTTGTACCCTGGATAAAAAGTGTGACCAAACTATGAATGTCCATAATGAAAACCAAACTTTACTAATAAAGTTTGAGGCGGGACAACTTGAACAGCACAGACAGTGCACAGCTGGGGCCCACAGTGGGTGGAAACAAACACATTTTCCTGACGCACATGTTTTTCTTTTTGTTAAATCCAAGCTGTACACACACAACCTTTCCAGTTGGGGATTACTATAAAAAAAAAAAAATCCCTCTTGTGTTAAGGAAGTTTATATATTGCATGAACAAGTTACCATGTATCTAAGATAAGAGGAAAAGTGATAGCCAGCTTAGAGTAACATTGGAGCAGGACAGCTGGAGTGTTCACCACGGGATCCACTGCCCACAGGAAGACTGTAGTAGCTCCAAGCTATTTATGCTCCAAACTTCTTTAGAATTAATTACAGATCTCAAAATTAATCTGCAGTCTAGTTTATTTAATCAGTTCTTGACTGTTTTCCTATTATTCCTATGATCTTACACTCAGCTCTCTAATTTTGACTCATGTCTCATTAGCTAATGAGACCATTAGCAGATTGATACTTGGTAAGTAATTCTGAGTATGTATTAAACATTAGAAGGAAAATAATTGTCAATAATCAGATCCCCAGCTATTCTGATAAATGTTCTCACAGCTTAGTGTGCATAAAGTACATTCCCAAGTAAAACAGGTAGTACGCTGTTAGTTAGTTTCCCTGCAAACATCCTGCACAGCTGTAAGAGCTAGATCAAAACCACATGACCTCTTATTTTCTTTCCTCTAGATAAATATAATTTGTCTTCTTTCCGAAACTCATAATTTTTAGTACATACAGTATTTTGGAGAGAATTTACTTTTCCTACTTACCACTAGCTGTCAGTACAGTATCAGACTAACAGACAAACATCCCAATTCTCTCATTGCTGCTTTTGGAGGGGCTTTACTCACGTAACACTAAGAACCTCTGTCAGTCCTACAAGAGAAAGTTGTAAGTATGTGCAATGCAAATACTAGACATGTTGAGCCAAAACCTGTCTGAAAAGGTCAATAAAGTCTTAAACTACTATTTTCTACAAGATAATATTTAGACAACTCTCTCCTGCTTAGTTGCAACACTGGTTCAGACTGATCTTACAGGAAAGATGAGAGTTAGATAGTTTTCAGTGACTTCCAAAGTATTGACATGTTTTGATTCAATTTAATTCCTTTTACAGATACAGATCCCCATGCTATGAAAACCTTAACGGTTTATTATAAAAATGCACTGATAAAAAGTTACTCTTGACGTACAAGACATATAAACCAACGTACGATCCTTTTAGAAAGGGCCGCCCCACTGAACTTGCCACACAGAACAGAGGAGGTAATCACCCTCTTAGTGCAACGCTAACGGGTATCAGTCTTGAAAGCATCTGAGACTAACTACAGTCAAGAGCGAGACAGGAAAGTTCAGTGCGACCTCGACGATCCCTGTCAAGGGCCATTCTGACTATCTGCAAGTGTGCTCTACGTATTACATTAACAAATAGGCTTCTTAAAAAGATGACACGAAAGCTCTGTGGGCCATCAAACACTCCAGTGTGACAAGTGTGGCAGATATGTGTCACCACGTAGTGCTTGTGCAAACCATGACTACCCGTGACTTTTTCTGTGTTTCCTATCCCGAAATGCTCTGGCTATGAGTCTGTTGCGTGGCCTTTTGTGAACAAAGTGCATTCATGTTGTAAGCAGGCAATCATTCATTTCTGTGTGGTTCTTTGTCTCTCTGGTGTTGTAACAAATATCCAAGACAACTCAACTTTCATACAAAAGTGGCGATGACATGCGATTGAAGACTTGGCCCTTAACGTCTCTCTGACTTCAAACTTAGTTTTCAAGCATCATGACTAGTTTAAATATCTTGTTGGAACTGGTGCTAAACTAGTACACGAGGTGCTTTAATATATTTGATTTCTGTAATTCCATACTATTAGAAAGAGTGTGAAATATTTTATTTAAAAACACGTCAAAGATCATAGTACTGTGACCACCTACTGTTAGACCTATGTGAAACACTCTGCTAGGGAACTTTAAAACCATTTACGTTTTTCCTTGTATGTAGCCCTTTTAATTAAAGGAAAGGGGAAGTAAATCTGTCAAAATGTATCTACTTGTACCATCAAGGCTTTGCTATACAAGACCCATTATTCTGAGACATGGTGAAGTAGGCTATATAGTGCAATACTTGCATTGTGTACAGGGGAAGTAATTTTCTTTTAGAAGTTGCACCGCAGAAATACAATACTTAGGGGGGGAAAAAAATCAAGTCTGCATACTAAATGTAGTAAACATTTAGATTTAGTACAGTAGTTCATTAGTTTTGCTCTTTTAATAGGATGCTTTATTAGATTTTAAAATGTTGCACTACCGTTTTCATGCAGAGAGCATGCCTTTCAGTTTCTAACATAAAATGAAATTGTCTTTGTTATGCCACTAATTTTTGTTCAATGAGCCTGATGATGTAAATGTATACAATAAAAACTGCCACACTGACTACCACTGTTATACCTTAATCCTGTGGAGAATGTACAAGCAGATGCTGCAGGAACATCAGCTAGGTAAACTTCCCGTGAGCTTTCTTAAGTGAAAAAGGGTGCTCTTGAAAATACTTTCCTCAAAGCATATAAGCTTTGGGCCATCTTCTCAGAGATGGAAGTTTGTTCTGTACAATGGAATCCCTAGTGCTTTGTGTGCTTTAACTTAGACCAGTTAGGTTGTCATAAATAAGTTTATCCTACACTCTTAAAACTGCTTAAGAATTTTTTTGACCCTCGTTGCTCTCCCCTTTGTTCAACATTTTTAATACATACAATGTTGTAGAAAAAGCTGCTCTTCAGCCTACTAAGAGGTTTTTGTATTCAGCAGGTTGGTCAGTGTTGACAGTGGCATAAAATAAAAAAAACACTCGGCACTTCTATTACCAGATTAGATGTCCATCTTAAACACTGATGTGTAATCTATCCAGGTTCCTCAACACTGTGAAGATTTATAGTTTGATGCAGCCCTCCCCCGTCAAGTTTGTGTCCATTTTCCAAAGAAGATAGACAACTACATCAGAAACAAAGAACAGAAGCATTACTGCAACTGACACACAAAGCCTGTTTAACATGCATTTACCTCAACCCCGAACAACTTCCCAAATGGGCACTTATCTGTAAGCCACAGACAAACCAAGATCCCATTTTATGATCATTATATGCAGAATATCTATAATCTTAGCTGTCTTACTTCCAGAAAACTTCACAGCACTGTAGTAACTTGTATTTAACAAAACGTCAGTCCTGAATGTTCTCATACTTTTCAATGTTACTGCAACTATTTCATGCTTTCAAGTGCTAGGATATTTATACTCAAGATTTTAATGCTGTTACCATTTCAGAGTGGCAACTGCAGAACATAACACATGAGAAGGCAACAACTATTGGGCTCAAGTAGCAGATCCCAGTAGAAGAAAGCACTCAGAAAACAAGAAGTTTGTTGTATCAGGAAAGAAAAATGGGTTTTGTTTGTGCTCCAAGCTGCTGGGTAACAGCAAATGCAGTTCACTGAGGTACTAGAGACCAGACCTACCTCATACACATTAGATACCCACTCACATGCAGTAGTTCCTATTCCATTTATTTAGCACGGACCACAGGAACTGACCATGGGACTTCCTGCAAATGCAACACCAAGCAACCACAAACAGGGAAAAGATGATTTAAGAGTTCAGAAATAAGTATTTACCTTTGTAGCAATGTAAAAGAAAAAAAAAAAGACGGGGTTGGGTGAAAGTTGGAGAGGTGTGAGAGACTGGATGTAACTGCAGATGGAACAGGGTGCAGAAAAATAAGGAGCATCTATAAAGGTAAGAGCTAAGATACAACAGGACTAGATTGGACAGGAAAACAATTTGGGAATTAGGAATTAAATTTTCAGAGAAATTATGAAAAACAAGCCATCCTAAGCCACACTGAAATGAAAAAGCCACATCTTGTAAGAATACCTCTATTATACTCTAGTAATGAGGGCAAGCAGATTTTACTACCCTCTGTGCATGTGACTGGATGCTCACGGAAAGCTTCAGTCATAGAAAAGGCTATGTAACCTCACTAAGCACCCAAAACTAGTAAGACACCCACAGCAAACATTATAGTTCATACTTCTGTATTTGACCATATTCTTGAAAATTAGTTTTTCCTTCTCTTGATTCAAGCCCACAGTTTTATCTTTGCAAGTTCTAAATATTTGATGAAGAACTCAAAACTGAATGTTCACAAATCTAACCTGCAGGCCAGATCAAGCCACCAGGCCAGTTTATTCAGGCAGAAATACCAGTGACCTCATCACTTAGCTCACACAACGGACTAGCAGGACAGCTACACGGTCCTCCTCTAAGTTATAGACAGTTTCACACAAAAGGATTGTCCTTTATAGGAGGTAGAGACAGGACAGTCAGTTTGCAAAGGAGAACTTGTTAAAAAAAAAAAGGCAATTCAGTTATCACGCACTCAAATTGTCAGATTAAAAAGGCAGCTGCTGATAAAAGCAAAGCTTAAAATTCAAGGGAATTGGATTAACACATCAGACAACCACATCAGTGCAATGCCATACAGCAGCTAAAAGCTAACACCAGAAAGCCTGAACTTTTCAGTATTGTTTCAGTGACCACAAAAAAAAAATGCTTCTCTCCAGACCTTCATGTCATATTCTTGAGTTTTGTACTCAGCATTATTGTTTTTATTCCAGGCCGCTGGAGAAACACATCTCCAACCCTATTCCTGCTTTTTCCTATTTGTTTGCCTACATCTGTTTTTCTTCATGGGATCAAAGTCAGTCACAAAAAAACTGATCTAAAAAACTAAGGAAGCCGCTTTGCATCAGGGTGCATGCCAGAACAGCAACCACTTGCACACAGTGGTAGCACTCTCATGCTCACACCTTGTCCCTGGGACAGCAGCAGCTCTCTCCTGGCCACTGTCTGCCTAGCATTTTCTTGTGTAAAATAAGCAAAT